AAAGGAACAAAGATAGGAAAGGAAGAATTTAAATTATCATTATTTGCAGATGTCCTGATTCTTGAATAGAAGACCCCAAAACTCTACCAAAAACTTCTGGATTTAATAACCATATTTAGTAGTGTAGCTGGATACAAAGTCAACCCTCAAAAATCAATAGCATTCCTGGAGACAAACAACAAAATCATTGAAAAAGAGATTAGGGAAACAACATCTTTCACAGTAGCACTGAAAAAAAAAAATGAAATGCTTAGGAATCAATCTAACAAAGGACATAAAGAACCTATACCTAGAAAATTACTGAACTTTTAGTAAGGAGATTGAAGAAGATATCAGAAGATGGAAAGATATCCCCTGCTCTTGGGTAGGAATAACCGTATGTAGTGAAAATGGCCATACTCCCAAAATTGTTATACAGATTTATGCCATCCCAATCAAATTACTATTAGCATACCTCACAGAACTGGAGAAAATGTCCCTAAAATTCATTTAGAACCAGAGGAAGCCTAGAATAGCAAAAACAATTCTGGTCAACAAAGACAAGTCAGTGGGCATCACAATCTCTGACTTGAAAGCATGCTACAAAGCCACTGTGATAAGAACAGCATGGTACTGGCCAAAAAGCAGACATGAGGATCAGTGGAACGGACTAGAAGAGGCAGAAACAACTCCAAACACACTCAGCCATCTTATCTTCGACAAAGGCCCAAACATGTTCACCGGAAAAAGGATAGCCTCTTTAATAAATGGTGCTGGAAAAACTGGCTTTCTGCGTGCTATTTTCAAAATTCCCACTTTCCCTGTCCTTTTGGAAACCAAGTATGCATTCCATACTTCATCCAACGGGGAAAAGAGCAGGATGAAATTATAGGTGGGAAAAGGCTATCTGAACTCCTAGAAAATAATGCAGGTGGAGAGAGTGGATTAGCAAACCTGGCAGTGTTCTTTGACTCATTTCCTTCCAGCTTCTTAGACTGAAGAAAGTATGTTGCTTCACACAGGAGTTTGACAAAGGCAGTTTTTTATGTTCACTATAAAAGGTACCCTTGGGGCTGGGAGGAGGGGCAGGCTTGACAGACAGTGGTCACTGGGACTCAGCAAGCCGTTCAAACTCCAGATTAACAGTCTTCTCCCTTCTCATGCCAAAGACAAAGGGCTGCTAAGAGTTCTGTCAATGTCTCCTATAGTCTGTGTAGGAATTAATAAATAATGTATCCTCCCATCTCAAATAGCTTGCAGCCCTCCTCAGTGATTCAAGAAGGATTCTCAGTGGTCTTGAGTTTTTCTTATGTCTCCAGAGCTGTGTATGCTGAGCTTTTGGTATCTCATCACTCTTGTCCTATGTAAGCAACACCCACCCCTACAAAAAAAAAAAAATTATGTGTGTGTGTGTGTGTGTGTGTGTGTGTGTGTGTGTAAGCCTACTATAAGCAATTGACACAGGTCATTATTATAGAGTTTCAGGTCACCATAGCATTTTAGCAAGGGCTACCCTCAGCTCTTATTTTGGTTCCGGGGATTGAACTCAGTTCCTTCCACTTTTGAGGAAGGTGGCAGAACCACTGAGCTAATGAAGCGAGGGGTAGAGATATTAAGACAAAAAGCAAGAGAAAGAGAACCATACCCTTATATACCGCTGTGCTGAGACATGACAGTTTGCTCCCTGGATTGCAGAACAAGAAATATTTGACTGCTTTTTCTTATATCACATTGGGATATCTGAAAAAGTTCTCACTTGTACTTGGGCATCTAAAAGGAATGATGATTAGTATTTTAGAAGTGCCTTTGCAGAATTGAGAAAAAGTCTGCTGTTATTACCCCAGGTTCTTGGGCAAGACCATGAAACTTGGGGGGGGGTGACTAAATGAATAAATGAATTAAATGCCCATTGCAGAGAGGTTTGCTTTTCTTTACCATAGAGCTCGAACACCTAGGAGCAGAAGACCTCATTTAGTGATCTCCAAACGTCTGGGTGCAGCAGAGGCCCTTCTTTGTCCCAGACCCTGTATCACTAATGAGCTATCTTCAATGCCCAGGAATATTCAGGATGGTGAGCTTCTGGAATTCAGTCTGTGTCCTGCCCCACCTCCCCTTCATTGTAGCTTTGCAGGCAGAGTCCCTGTTTGTTTAGAAGCAATTAGTTAGAAAATCAAAGTGGCTATAACCCAGGATGCCTAGTGACCACACAAACAATTAGAGTAGATGAAAGGAAGTAGTGACTTCCTGTTCATCTGATTAACCATGCAGAATCTAAGAACAGACTCTAAAATGCCTCATCACTTCCCACTAAATGTTCACATCTATATACTAAACTAAAATGTAAAAGTAAATATTGTTGAAAAAGGTTTATTTGAAAATGAGCCCCCAGCTCTTTCCTCATTTATTTCCCTTCGAACGGAATTATAGCAGAAAGAAAGTGGCCTCTATGACTTCCAGCAACTACGGTACCTTGTTGATGGATGATCCCTTCCAGAAGCCATCTTCAGAGCAGAGGAGCACATTCCTCCCCACCACGCTGAGAGGCTTCCAGGCCATGCAAAGCTCTGGGCTGGCAGCAGCCTGCACACAGTGTGAGGAAGAGCCCACTTCAGTCACCAGCCTCACAGCTAAGGGCATTTCCGGTCTGAGCCATCTGAAGGCCCCTGCAGCTCATGACTACTCTGTCCCGGTTAATGCAGACCTCGGACTACAGAGCAGGTGAGAGATGTGTCCCCTCCTGCAAGTGAGGCTCAGTGAAAAGCCGTAACCCTCACCATATCAAGGACACAAGTGCAAAGAACTAGAAAGTGACCTTTGCAATCACAGGCCTAGTTTGCTCAGCTGTGTTTTGGTTCAAAAACTGGCGAAGTGAACTTAACCGGGTGGCATGGCATAAGTGGGTTTGTGCTCTTTCTCCAGGAAATAAAAATAACCCAATTAAAAGAAATAAATGATGGTAAAGAAAAATGCAGCAGTGACTTCCTTTGGCCCTGCAATGAACTGTTATGGTTTAAATCCAAAAAGGCCCCAAAGTCTCCTGTGTATGGAAGGTTATTGGACCATGGGCACTATGCTCACCGGTGGATTCCTCCAGTGATAATTCAGTAGCTGACTGTGCAGTGAGGAGGCAGGGCCTGGATGGAGGTGGTCAGGGGGCCATGACCTGGCAGTGTGCATTCTTGTCCCTCACTCCCTGCTCTCTGCTTTCTGGCTACCGTGGACTGAGTAGCTCCCCTTCATGCTGTTTCTGCCTTGAAGCAACTGACTGTGGGCTGAAATTGGGAACCAAAATAAACCTCTCCTCCTCCAAGGTGTGGGTGTCAGGCATTTTGTCCCAATGAAGACAAAGCAATTAAGACAAGCTCTCCTGGATGTCAGCCCCCTCATTGCAGATTCTGTTCCTAGAAGTGCTTCTTTCTCTAGACAGAGCACAGGAATTTTCTGGTTTCATCAGCCTCAGTGGTTAACCCCACTTCAACACCTGAAGGACCCACTGAACACCCGTGTTTGAGTCCAGCCGCCCCCTCCCACCTGTGAGGCACGAGTAGCTCACAGGCTCCATCCAGTCCTGCGGAGAAGAGGCACAGAGAGGCCCTCAGGCTGCTGATCAGAAGAGCCCTGCACAGGCTGGGTGCAGACGGTGAGGTTATCCTCCGGAAGGTCTACGGGGACAGCATGGGCCGCCCGAACATCTCCACGCTCCTCAGCTCAGCTAGCAGCCATCTCCAGTCACAAGAATGTGGGGGACTCTGAGCACCCTTACAGCCCTAATCCCTGGATGAGCACCTGCTCGGAGGAGCTCACCATGAGCCACCCTGGCCCCATCTCCATTTTCTAGCCAACCTGTTTAGTAAATTCAAATATTGTCTCCATTTCTTATTCTGAACTTTGCTTTTCTTAACACTATTTTATACTATTGTTTCAACAGTAGCTTCTTTCTAGAAAAAGAATTATCGTTGGAATGGTTTCCTCCTTGATGCATCTCTTTTTCCAAGCCCTGTGTTCCTGACAACTGCATCTTGGGGTGCAAAGGAGCCATTTGTTTTGGAGACTGTGTTGACCCTCCCCTTGCTTTTCCCTCAGCTGACCTGGCAAGGATCATGAATGTGAGTGTTTTTCTGGCCACTGACTAAACATTTCCATACCGCTAAGTTAAAACAGAATTTCACCCACATTTTCTCAATTTTTCTTCTATAAAATTACAGTTTAATCAGCACTTGTTTCTTATGCAATCTTCTCCCCTCTCCTACATACAACATTTTTATATTTGAGTCTACTTAGTGCAGTATTTTTCTCACAAGATGCTTGTATAAAAATAAATGCTTTGGTGGAGGGTTGGCCCCTTAGGAACATGCTTTGTATTTTCTCACAGATTTCCAGCTAACACAAAAACTATTTGTGGTTCACAGACTTTCCCTGATCTTTGCCAGATTCACATAGATATCTGTCCCTTTCACATTGCATGTTAACATTCAACCCTCTGATACAAAACTGAGAAAATGAGGCAAGAGAAAGTGAAGATTAGCTTCGTTTCTAACAGGAAACATGGGTGTGAATAGTGGAGGAATCCTGGAGATCAATAAGGCGGTAGGAAGGGTCAGGCTGATTCCAGTGAATCACACTGCCCTGTAAATCAAGTGTGCCTCAAAGAAGAGATAGGAAATCCAAAGAATAGAAAAATCAACCACCAAGCTGGAATTTCAAACAGTTTTCCTTTTTATTTTCCCATGAGCTTGGTGAGGAGGTTCTGAGGCTGAATATGTAGCAGGGTGAAGAGCTGGTCCCAGGTGGGGAGCAGCACTGCTGACCTCGCATGTTCACACCAGCCCTGTTAGGGGCGCATCCTGGCTCACGACCGGTTTGCATTAACTTTCCAGGCCACTGCCACTTGCTTCAAGGTGGATTCCCCAGACACTGACAAAACAGGCTCTGCTAAATTATCTGCTATTGCTCACCAAGCTTGTTGCTCCAACTCCTTGAAAAGCAGAAGGCATATAGAGAACTTCAACATGACCCAGATTTTACATTCGCAAGTCTCTCCATCCCCGCGTGACGCTGTCATCGCTGTGGAACAGGATGGAGTTGGTGTACGGGCCGCCGTCCTCCGGGAGGATGGTGGTGTAGGACGTGAACTTCACCCGCTTCCTCTTCGGGCCTGCAGAACTCACGGGCTCATTTTGCATCTCTGTCTCGTAGACGTAGTCAGAAGGCCTGAGCAGCTGGCTGTGGAAAGTCTTCTGGGAGCCGCCGTTCAGCAGGAAGTTCCTCTCCTCGAACTGCAGCCCCTGGTCCAGCACGGTCGTGCACTCCTGGGAGGGCAGCGCCGCGTCCACCGGGTTCTCCAGCAGCTCCACCTCGTTCCCCAGCCAGACCCAGTCGTGGGAGTGCGGGATGTTGCCCTGCTCGCTCACCGCGAACCTCTTGCGTCTATACTTCCAGGAAAACGCCACGCAGTTGATCAGGAAGACCAGGATGGCCAGGCAGAAGACGCAGAGCAGGGCGTACATGCCGATCTCCAGGTCCGTGAGGCCCCTCGAGGCCATTGCAAGGTCACTGGGGTTGTTGGGTCCCGGCGACTTCCCCTGAGTGGGGAAGCTGGTGAAGGCATCTGCGCCACCACTGCCGAGCACCTTCCCTTCCCTGCCTCCCGCAGGAGCCTGCAGGGCTGTGCTTTTGTTGGTCCTTTCCTCCGGGCCAGCGGACGCGCCATGCTGGAACCGTTCCTGCACGGCTCGCTCCCGGCTTCCTTCCCGCTCTATGGAGTTACCGAGGCGGTCTTGGTAGTCCCGGTTTACACCCTCGATGTCATTGCTGCCTCCTCGGTGACCATCCACGCTTGGTTCAAACTTGACCTTGACATCTCCCCTACCGACGGCAAGAACACTCTTCCTCTTGGTCTTCTGACAAGGTTCACTAATCATCATCTCTGACTTCACCAGCGGCCCTTGTCCTTCCCCCTCTGGGGCCGCCACCCGGCCTTGGGACTGAAGATCAGGATGGACGGACACCATTTGATGAGAGACAGTTATGGAAAAATCCTTGGGACATAAATATCCAAAGGTGGCACTTAGTTGGGCAAAATTTAAAGAATTTTTGGGACAGATCTTTGATTTTGCAAACCCTTTTTCCCATAAATGTTCATTCCAAAAAATTTATTATGTGTACAGAATTAGGAAAAACTAAATCCCAGGACTCTGTAATCTTCTACGGCTCTTGACATGCACCAGATTCTAATTAATAATGGGCAATATCCCAGTGATACAGAGAAAAAGCCGTACCTGTAAATAAAGGAGTGGAGGGACATGCTATCCTCTGCCCCACACTGAGTCATCTTCTCTTCCTTACAGTGTTTTGATAAAATTAGGAAATGGATTATGCGACTAATTGGGCCATCACTAAAGACAGCGTTATTAACTGTACTGTAGTAAAAGAGTTTGCAGATGAGGCAGCTTGGCACTGGTTTAAAGAATTGGGAAAACGATGCATAAAAATCTCACCCTGCTTGAAGGACATAATGCTCCTGATATCTTCCTGAAATGACTTGCTAAAACTCCAAAAATGTGCAAAAGTTTTAGCATCGACCATAATTATAGTGGGTAGATAGCAATTTGGTGACTTCTTACAGTAACTGAAATGGAATTCTGTGTCAAAAACTGCCTGCTTTTGTAAAAATGGAAAAAATATAACCCTTCTGTCATGGTCCACCAGCAGACTGTCAGTTGCACAGTTAAACTCCTAGATGGCGCAGGGACCTGTGATGAACTGGTGTCCAGGCTACAGTGCAGTGTTCTAGCAGACAGAATAAAAGGCCAGGTGAGAATTCCAGAAGTCATCTCAGCTGCAAAGTGCCCCTGGCCAGTTCCTATTCTGGGCTCTCAAAGCTGAGGGATGAAGGATCTCAAAGTCTGCAAAGCCTCCAGAGCTCACATCTCTTTAAAAGCCAGAAGGATATCCTAGAAAAACCAGTCTCTCTTTTTTAGCTACGCATCCTATTTCTTGACAGGTCTTCCAGAGAAAATCATTGCCTTTTCAGCCAAGACAAAGCTAAAGAGAGAAAGACATTTGAAGCAAAAATGAAAGCCTCTATCTCTGATTAATACAGTGTCACCAAACCAAAAAAAAAAAAAAGTCAAAGTTGGAAAAGATGTATGAAAACAAACCACTGTGATCACAAGCATGTTTTATTTTTCAATCACAGCTTCATCACGACTGCTTAAAATTTTGTAATTGATGTTTATACCAAAAATTTCCCTGCTAAAAGAACATGGCTGATGAAATGATCTATTAAAGCTTTCGTAATTGTTTGATTTCACTTGCCAATTAAAGGATCCTAAAAAAGCAACTTTCTACATTTTGTTTCTTTGGTTCAGTTAAAGCAACTTTCTTAAAGAGAGATTGAAATTAGTGTAGGGTGAGAGTTATTTCAAAGCCATTGCACATCTTGGTGCTCAGTCTTCGCAGTGAAGAACCAGGACATCAGAGTGATGATTGTAACAGAGGAGTGGGGGAAGCTGTGGGGAGGGCACCATTCAGCCCTCCCCTCCAGCTCCATCAGTTTCCAGGGTGGCTTCAACATTCCTGATGCAAGGATGGGGGTCCTGGTGATTTCCTGTGTGCCCTGCTAGTCACAGTGGGAAGGGATCTAATGGTCCGAGCACCAGCCCACATATGTGCACTTTGCACACACAGAACATGCCCGGTGAGAGGAGCTGCAGCCGTTAAACCTAATCTGTCAGCTTCCCTGGGTCAAGAAACAGCTGGCCCTCTGCACAGCTAGGGCCTGGGTGTGTTGGGTGGGTCCCGAGGCCTGGCCTTGAGTGCTACGTCTGGTATCTTGCCTGCTGCTCCCCTCTGTGTTCCCCTGCTCCTCTCTCTCCACAGACTAAGCAGCTTGGCCCTGCTGCACCCTTCCAGCCCCAGGCTTCTGCTTTAGAGCCAGCTGACCGTGCACTGACAGCCCGGAAACCGAGCCAAGTCACACCTTCCTCCTTTAAATTCTAAGGGCCAGGTGTTCCGTCTGAGCCTTGAGAAAGCTGATTAAGACGGAAAGTGGCTGGTTTGTAAAAGGGATACTAGAAAAGAAATTGTGAGTAATTACAGTCAAAATTATAGTTTTATTAAGAATATGCATTGTTTAGCATCCAAAGCACGACTGACATTATCTAGAAACTATTTTGTGTAGGTATGAGAAAAGATAGAGAATAAAGCACTGGTAATTTCATATTTTTGGCAAGAAATGGACTTTCAATTTTTAAAAATGTTCTTAGCCAGCATTCAAGTCCAAGTACAGTTAAAATGTTCAATTTTAAATATCTTTGGTGTTTCCCTGTGTTCAGTTACTAATATATGGAAAGTGGGGATTCATAGTTAAAGGAAAAGACTACTTTCATTTGTTTTCACTTTTCTAGTAAATGAGGGAAGCTTGACAGAATTAATATCTTTGTTTGCAGTGCCATCTTGTGAGGCAGAAACGTCCAGTGTTACAACTTTCACATCCCTGATAGCCAGAGGTTCAGAGAATTTAGGTGGCCCACGTACGCAACCCATCTAACCAACGACCTCGATTGTGGTTTAGATCAAGCATCATCTTGGCAAAGTCTTAGCATTCAGAGCTGAGGTTCTGAAAGGTGACGGGTGCTGTGACACTGTGCTCCTCCGTGGATTTGTGCACTGCAGCAAACTGGCCTGGTTGGAGGACGTGGGTCCCTGGGGCCGGGCTTTTGGGAAGCGGAGCCCCCTCCCCTTCCCTCTCTGTTTCCAGGTGCCATCCTATCAGCCAGTTTCCGCCCTCCCAGACCTGGCCACCATGCTGTTTCTGCCCTGGCACCACTGATGAAGCCCCAAACTGTGAGCCCAGTAAAACCTCTCTTCCTTTGTGTTGCAGGTGTCAGGTATTTCCTCCCATTGATGGGAAAGATGAATAACACTACCTGGAAAAATCTTAGTCCCTCAAGTCCTATGAGTCCAAAACTTCAGCCAATCTGTGGCCATCTCAGACCCATGGTGCAAACAGCAGGTGCTTAGCTCACCTCCTTCTCCAAGGCCACTCTCTTCCCTTGTGATGAACAAACCTGAACTGAGAATGTGCTAGAGGTCACCATCCACGTGAGCATCTAATGCAACTGATGTCTTCTGAGCCTGACAGCTACATTGAAGGCCCTGTGGCCCTTTCTCAAGCACAATCCTCCCAACTGGGGAGGCTCAGCTCAAACTACAGGACACAAAGATGTTTTGATTTTTTCTTCTCCTCTGCAGACACTAGTCTGTACTCAATCTCTGTGAAATAGCCTTATCTCATACCACTCTATAAACACCTGCTAAAATATAAATGATGACTCAATTTTCTATTGCTGCTGTAACAAATTTACCCAATTGTAGCGGCTTACACCAACCCTAGTGTATCCTCCAACAACTTTGAGGCGGTCAGAAGTCTCACTGGGCTGAACTCCAGATGTCCACAGGACATGTTCCCTCCCAGAACCTCCAAGAGAGATGTTATGTGACCTGTTACAGGGTTAAGAGGCCACCAGCATTCCTTGGCTCATGGCCTCTTCCTCCACAGCCATCAGCCTTACACTTCTCCAACAGGTATTCATCATCATATGTCTCTGTCTGACTCTTCTGGCTTCTTTATGTACCTGTGAAGATCCTTTGTTTACATAGGGTCCACCTGTACAATGCAAGATAATGTTCTATTTGAAAGTTAACTGCCTAGCAACCTTACTGTGAACTTCAACCTGTTTTCCCCTTTCCTATGTGAAGTTACATATCACAGGTTCCCCGGATAAAGTTGTTTTGGGGTGTTATTTTATTCATCTTGAAACTTTGTGGGATCCTTCTCTTTCTGTGTTTGGCAGTGGAGTGCTAGTCATGTAGCTGCACTCCCAGGCCCAGTGCTTGGTGGGAGAATGGGTTCACAGCCTGAGCTGGACTACGGGGCGTCTCTCCCTAGGATTTCAGAGCCAAACCTGATAGGAATGAGGCCTGGCTCCTGCCAATGAAAGATCCTTCTACTGCAGAGCAGGGGCTTCTTGCAGTCACATTTCCTTTGCCTTAGGGCAAGTGTGCAGCAAACAGAATGCAACCAATTTGTAGAAACAAGGGAGATGTGTGAGATGAGGAGGAAGAGTATCAAGAGTGTTTTCGGGTGAGGTGAACATCTCAGAATCCTGAGGAGTCTGTTCCCAAGGGCAGCTCACTGGTGTAGAGCACAGTTTCATGGGGTGAGCAATCACCCACTTTTGTTTCAGCTAGTTTAGGCTCAGATTTCCTCACTGTGTCGCCAAATTCCTCAGAAACCAGACAGGCCCAAGAATGCTTCACGAGGAGGACTGAGCTTCCTTGGAAAAGTCAGAGAGATGCTGCTCAGGGGCACAGGGCCAAGGGGCCCCTGATGGGGAATTCCAACACCTTCTACAAGGGAGTGGAAGATGCTAAATCCTCCACAAAGGAAGATGGCATGTGCTGTTTTCTGTGTTGACTTTGCAAATCCAGGTCAGAGGCAAAGAGCTGAGAGGAGAGGCAGCAAAACCAAGCCTCTCAGGAAACACCAGTTATGGAAACTCTTAGTCAGAAATCAGCCTCTACTCTGCTGCCAGTAAGGCTTCCCAGGATACTGAACAATGTTGATGCCGAGAATGTGATTTTCCACCAGCTGAGCAGGCTCTCATCTCTGTCCTTCCTGTCAACCCCCCAGTGCCTTCATTCCCACACCTGCAAAATGGCAACGCCCTCGAATGTCATCCTTGACATTGCTGGGAGAACGAAGAGCACAGGCTCATGAGAAATGCTGCTTAGCACAGCACCTCAGAGCGAGCACAGTGTGATTACTTCTCCAGGTGCTGGTTTTGTCATCTTTGTTAACATCTACACATTTCCCATTTCGACTGGACTCATCACAGAGCATGGATCTTTCTGCCTTTTGTGTCAGGAATGCTATTTGTATTCTACAAGCTAGCTAGCAGGAGAGATGGGAGGGACCGTGATGGCCTCTCACCAAGTGTTCCCAGAAACCACCACTCCACCAGGAGCCAAAGCCTACATTTGACACAAGTTCCTTAGCCTCT